AAGATATATTTATAAATTTATAACTAAAACCTCCTGTATAAATAAAAAAAAAAATAAAATAAAAAAAATAAAGCTAAAAAAATAAAAATATATAAGAAAGTTAGATTTAACTTTAAAAAATTATTAATATTACTATAATATAATAATTAATAATAAAAAGTAAAAGTTATATAAATTAATAAAATTATTACTAGATATTATATAGAACTAGCTAAATTTAATATAATATTAGCAAAAGTAAAAAAATAAACTAAAGATAATAAAAATAAACCTTTAGTTAAAATACTATAATAATATTAAAAGTATAAGAAATTATATTAATAAATACTTAAAAAAAAACTATTACTTTATTTAAAATAAAATTATAAAATTACCTTTAAAAATAAAACTTTACTAAAGCTTTATAAGATTTATAACTTTAATAAAATAATGCTTAAAATACTTAAAAAATAGTTATAAATATAATTAAATAAAAAATATATTAAAGTATTAAACTCTTTAGTAAAGTACTTTATTATTTTTATATTTAAAAAAAATAAAAAGCTTTATTTAGTTATTAACTATTAATAGCTTAATAAAATAACTATTAAAGATAAAATGCCTTTATTATTAATTATTAAAATTAAAGAAAGATTATAAAATATAAATTAATTTATAGCCCTAGACTTTATAAAAGCCTATAAACTTATAAAAATAAAGGAAAAATATAAATAAATAACTATTTTTAAGATAAAATATAAATTATTTAAATATTTAATTATATTATAAAGACTTATAAATATACTAGCATTATTTTAAAAAAAAATTAACTTTATTTTTAAAGAATATTTAAATAACTTTATAATAGCTTATATTAATAATATTTTAATTTTTTTAAAAATATTAAAAAAATATAAAGAATATATTTATAAAGTATTATAAAAACTATAAAATACTAAGCTTTTTATTAACTTAAATAAATATTAATTTTATATATAATAAGTTAAGTTCTTTAAATATATTATTATACTAGAAGAAGTTTAAATAAATTTAAATAAAGTTACTGCTATCTAGGATTAAAAACTTTTAAAAACCTATAAAAGATTATAAAGCTTTTTAAAATTTATTAATTATTATTAAAGATTTATGTAAGGATATAGTAAAATTATAAAACTATTAACTGATGCTATTTAATTTAAAGAAAATAAAAAAAGTAAAAAAAAATAAAAAAATAAAAAACTATTTTAAATTAATAAAATAAAGTTAATATTTTAAAAATTTAAAAATGCTATTATTAATAAATTAATATTTACTATATATAACCTAAATAAGCCTGTTAAAATTAAAATAAATGCTTTTAACTTTACTTTAGAGAGGACCTTAAGGTAATAAAATAAAAATAAAAGACTTAAGCTAGTAGCTTTCTTTTTAAAAAAACTAAATAGTTTAAAACTAAAATATTTTATTTATAATAAAGAATTTTTAATAATTATTAAAGTATTTAAAAAAATAATAATATTATTACTTAAAAAATAAATATAAAATTAAAGTTTATATTAATTATTAAAATATATTTTACTTTATAACTATATAATAACTTTTTATGCAATAAACCTATTACTTTAAATTTCTAATAGACTATAATTATAAAACTATTTACTGTAAAAGGATAAAGAATAAAAGAGCTAATGCTTTAAGTTAAAAAGAAAAATATTTTAAAAAAATTCTAGAACTTAAAGCCTAAATTTTATAGAAAAATAAAAATAATAATTATAAATAAATATATATTAATAATTTATTTACTATTAAAAAAAATTACTTAATTTTAAATAAAATTAAAGTATAATTTAAAAGGCTATAATTAAATAACCTTTTATTTAATAACTTTTCTTAAGAAGTTACTATAAAGAACAATATATTAATATAAAAAAATAATAAAATCTAGGTCTTTAAAAAATTATAAGATAAAGTAATAAAAGATATATATAATAGTATAATTACTGCTGTATATAAAGGCATTAAAACTACCTATAAACATTATTAATAATATTACTATTTTTAAAAAATAATAAATAAAATAACTAATATAGTTTTAAAATATAACATCTGCCAATAAGCTAAAAGCTTTTAATATAAGCTATATAAATAACTATAACCTTTATTTATACTATAATGCCTATAAGAATTTATTTTATTTAACTTTATTACTAAACTATTACTATTAAAAAAGCCAGTTATTAAAACTTTATATAATAGTATTTTTATAAAAGTATATTAATTAATAAAAATAGTATACTTTTTACTCTTTAAAAAAGTAAATAATATAAAAGATTTAGCTTATATAATAATAAAATTTATTATAAATAACTATAGATTATTAAAAGAAATAATCTTTAATAAAGGCAATACCTTTATATTTAAATTCTAAAAAACACTTACTGCTAGATTTAAAATAAACTATAAAGTAAATACTATATATTACTTATAAATAAATAAGCAAATAAAATATATTAATTAAATAATTAAAATATATTTACACTGCTATATTAACTTTAAATAAAATAATTAAATAAAACTTTTATTAATTATTTAACTTACTTATAATAGTATATTATTAAAATCTATAGAAAAATTACTATTTTTTCTAAACTATAGATTTAAACCTAAAGCCTATAAATTACTTAAATAGAGAAAAGATATTAAAAAAGCTATTATTAAAGCAGAAGATATAATTAAACTATATAATAAATTAAAAATATAACTTAAGTTTATTTAATAAAGAATAGTTAAATATATAAATAAATATAGGCTTAAAAGACTAACTCTTTAAAAAGGGAATATAGTTTAATTACTTTACTATATATAAAGTAATAAATAAGTAAATATTAAAATAAATAAATTAAGTAATAAACTTAATTTTAAAAAACTTAAACCTTATAAAATTCTAAAGAAAATTAAAAAAGTTAATTATAAACTTAAACTCCTAGAATAATAAAAAAAATAAAGAAAATACATATACCTAATATTTTATATTTTACTATTAGAAAAAGTATAAATTAATAAAAATATTAAAGAAATTATCTAAGATAAAATTATTATTAAAAAAAAAAAAATATAAAATAAAAAATATTAATACTATAAAAATAAAAGAAAATAATAAATAATACTACTAAATATAATAAAAGAAGGGAAGTAAAAAAAAAAATATAAAAACCTATTAAAAATCTTATAAATGCAATAGCATTAGTAAAAAAACTCTATTAAAACCTAAAAATTTTAATAAAAATAAATCTATCTTTAAACCTAAGAAATCTACCTGCTTTAAAAAAATAAAGCTAGCCTTAAAAGAACTACTTGCTAATTATACTATAGCAGCCTAATAAGCAGCCTTTACTTCTTTGTACTTAATATAATCCAATTCCTTTAAATCTATTATACCTTATTTAACAGCTCTCTTTATTTTTTTATACTATATTTATTTTTATTTTTAAAAATAAATTACTTTTACAGCTGCTTTAGCTAGAATATCCTTAGCCTTCTTTAATTCCTCTTTTAAATAAAAATACTAAATAAAAATATAATTAAGTTAATTAAGTATTAAACTTTAAATATTATAATAAAATTTATTTAAATAAATATACTTTAAATAATATAATAAATTTAATAGAAAAACTAAATAAAATTTATAATTCTTTATAATATAATAAAAACAATATTTATTAAACTTGCCTGCACTAGATATTATAGCTTTTAATAAAGAATTATATTACTAGGTCCTTTTATAAAAAAATCTTTTAATAATTTTATTTAATATAATAAAGGTTAATAAAAAGCTAAAAAAAAGCATTAATAAAAAAACTAAAAAATAACTGTATTTATTAAGTAAAAAATATATTATTTATACTAGAACTATAAAGTCTTAAAAATAAAACTAAAAAAAGAAAAGTATTATATTATAACTTAACTCTTATAGTTATAATAATAAGCCTATAGAATAGGCTAAACTAAATTAATATTAAAATAATAAATTAATTAAAAAAGATTTATTAACTTAATTATTAAGTCAGTAAGTTAATTTAATAGAACTTATTAATAAATTCTATAAAATACTATAAATCTAGCTTATATAACTAAATATATAAGTTTACTTTACTATACTTATTTAAATAATTTAAATAGCTAGTTATTAATATAAAATTAAAATTAAAATATACTTCTAAAAGCTTATTTACTAGTAATATTATATTATTATTATTGCCTATAAATCTCCTAACCTATCCACCAATATAAATTATAAGACTAGGTTTGTGCTTTAGAAATCTTCTAAGCCACTAACTCTTATAGGACCTTAGTGACCAGGTTATTATATCTTGGGGATAAAACTAACAGAAGGAAAGTATTATATTATAACCTGCCTTTTATAGTTATAATAATAAATCTATAGGGTAGGCTAAATTAAATTAATATAAGACTAACTTACTAATTACAATAGATTATTAAATTATTATAATAATCTAATAATCTATAAATAAATTATTAATTTTATAAGATAATTTATAATAAATTATTAAAATTTATAAATAATCTAGCTTAATTAACTAAATATATAAGTTTATTTCTTATGCTTACTTAAATAACTTAAATAGCCAGTTATTAATATAGTTTTATATCTATAAATTAAAAAGCACTTTTAATCTCTACTAATAACTATTATTATAATATTATTATCTATAAGGTTTTCTAATCTATCTGCTAACATAAACCTAAAGAACTTATTCTAGGTTTATCCTTTAGGAATCTACCCTATACTAACTATCTAGTATATGGTTTATTATACTATAGTAATAGATTTCTTTTTTTAAGTCTTTAGTTTAGTTTACTTTAATAAATAACTGAAAAAATATTAAAGTATACTAGTAATATAGTTTTTTTTATTTAAGGTTTTTAAATTATTTTTTTACTTTTTAAGTTTTATTAATAATTTTAAAAAACTTTTTTAATTTTGTTTTAAAATTACTATAATTAATAAAAATAGCTATAGTTTAAGCTTGTTATTTATTAAAAATATTTTTTGAATAATTTTTTAAAATTACTTTAATTTAATCTTTTACTACTTTATTTATTTAAGTTTTTATATATTAAATATATTTAAATAACTTAATAAATATAAAAGAATTTAAAAAATAATATTTAAAATAAATTTAAAAGTTATTAAAAAACTTATATAGCTTAGCTAGGTTTTTATTAAACTTATTAAAATAAAAAAACCTAAGAATTTCTTTAGGTTATTTTTTAATTATGTTAATAAATTATACTATAAGTATAACTACAGCAGGTACTATAGCTAGTAATATTACTAGTAGGTTATAAAATACAGCAAGCTATTACTATAAAACATTAATATTTTATATATTATTAGTTTTTTATACTTTTAATTATTAAATTAATTATTTAAAAATAGTTAAATAGCTTATAAAGTTTTATAAATTTAATAAAAGTGCTTAATATTATATTTACTTTTTTATATTAAATTAATCTATAGGTTTAATAAAGTTTTAAAAGTTATTTATTTTAATATTATTTATAAGTTTAATAACTATTTAAATAAAAGTTATTAATATATAATAAACTATATATTAAATAGTTAATATAAAGTAAATTCCTAAGGGATAAACCTAAAATAAATTTTTTAGGTTTATATTAGTAAATAAATTAAAAAACCTATAAGCAATAATATTATAATAGTTATTAATAAAGATTAAAATTATTTTTTAATTTATAAATATAAAACTATATTAATAACTAGTTATTTAAGTTATTTAAATAAATATAAAAAGTAAATTTATATATTTAATTAATATTTTTAGATTATAATAAATTAATATTAATTTTTATTAATCTTAAGTATAAGTTAAAATAGATTAACTATAATTTATATTAACCTATTGCTAATTAGTGCGCCAGGCTTAATTTAATCTAGTAATACCTACCCGGTAGGCCTGTAGTTGTAACTATAAGAGTTAGGTTATAACAAATATATTAAATTAAACTAATAATATATAAACTATATAAATTATATTATAACCCGATTCTTATAGTTATAACAATAAGCCTATAGCATAAGCAAATCTAGATTAATATAAAACCAACTTACTAATTATAAATAAATTATTAAATTATTTTAATAATTTAATAATTTTTAAATAAAATTATTAATTTTATAAAATAATTTTTAAAAATTATTAAAATTTATAAATAATCTAGCTTATATAATTAAATATATAAGTTTACTTTACTATATTTATTTAAATAACTTAAATAGCTAGTTATTAATATAAAATTAAAATTAAAATATACTTTTAAAGCTTACCTATTAGTAATATTATATTATTACTATTGCCTATAAATCCTCTAACCTATCTGCTAATATAATATTACAACCTGCCTCTTATAGTTACAACAATAGGCCTACAGGGTAGGCCAAACTGGATTAACATAGGACCGACCTACCAATTACAATAGATTATTAGATTATTACAATAATCCAATAATCTATAAATAGATTATTAATCTTATAAAATAATCTATAATAAATTATTAAAATCTATAAATAATCTAGCTTAATTAACTAAATATATAAGTTTACTTTTTACCTTTATTTAAATAACTTAAATAGTTAATTATTAATATAGTTTTATACCTATAGATTAAAAAGCATTTTTAATCTTTATTAATAATTATTATTATAATATTATTGCCTATAGGTTTTTTAACCCATTCTTTAATATAAACCTAAAGAACTTATTCTAGGTTTATCCTTTAGGAATTTACCCTATATTAACTATTTAATATATAGTTTATTATATATTAATAACTTTTATTTAAATAGTTATTAAACCTATAGGCAATAATAGAAATATAGC